CCCCCTTACCGTGTTATGCATTATTTTCCTTCATTATGAATTTGTTTTGGTTTTAATATAACATACAGGTATATATTGGGGGAAAAAAAAATGTGTGTTTGTTTCTAATTCAGATGTTCACAGCAGTAAGAGTATCCAGATTAAGCAACATTAACCTAACAAATCAAACCCTTAATAAGAACTTTAATGATCTCTGTGAGAATCTGTTGAAGGTAAGAGTCTTATTTCAAGCATTTTGTTTAATTGTTCAAATGGAAGCAAAGTAAAATCAGGCTATACTGAAAATAACATTTTGTTTATAATTACTTTTTGGAATTAGACTACAAAGTGTCTGTACTAAGTTTGTAAGCTGCTCCAAAGATAGATTCAGCATTCTTAGTATATTAAGGATTTCTGATACTTTTGGAATCTGAATGAGTCCTTTGACTGATAGTAAAGACTGCTATACAGTAGATTGTGTTGTATCCTGACTTTTCACACCTGTAATTCTTCTTCCAAAAAAAAAGCTATGATTAGATGATTTCTACTACGAAAATAGTTTTGATCTTTAATTTCTCTGAAGTAAACCATGCATTTTTTTAGAGTAACACAGACAATGTCTTGTCTTCAACAGAGCTTGTATTTTAAACTTCGATCTATGGTTCCCTGCTGCCTTTGTCATGTAAATTTTACAGTTGCTCTACCAGAGGACGAATTAGTTCAGGTAAGTAAACTGATTCTTTCAGCTTTCAGCATGTAGACATGCCAGGTTTGGCTTTTAATTAACATTTGCTACTCAGAGTAAACTAGGCTAGGATTTAGTAGTGTGTCTGGTGAATTCTGAAGTAAAACTTAAGGCCATAATGTTTAGTGAAAAAAAAGAATGACCTAATGAGTTCACCAGTGTTATCTTTTTAGTTTGATAGAAAACAAAAAGCCCTGACTAGGTATTCATTAAAAGGTGTTACCACAGACACTGCAAGAGTACGGCACACTAGTTTTCTAAGTATGCTGTCTTTATTATTGTCTAATTTTTTTCTTGCCGTTTTAAGGTGATGCGATATACTTAATTATTTTTAAAGAAAATGTTTTCCTTAGAAGTATAGGATCGTTCTCATATTCAATTAAAAATCTTTCTCTCTCTTACAAATACAATGATAATGAGTTTTTATGATTCTTTTTTATGTCATTTCACCAGGAATGGAGAACTTATGAACAATATCATAAATGTGGGACAAACATTCTTAGGTGTATGTTCTAACAATGGACCTTAGTACTGCCTTTTATGCTCTGTTGTGAAGGGTTTAAAAAATGTCTCCTTTGATTATTTTTCCCTATTAATTTTCTACAGAAAAAGTGGGCTTGTTTTCAAAATTATTTTTGCAGATTGCGTGAGAGATTAAGTTACCTTAATATGCCATATATTTCTGGTTTGCAGATCGCAGTCACAGCTGTTGCAATTACATTTGACAAAAACCAAGCATTACAAGCCAACAAAACCCCTACAGAAAAATCACAGCAAAGAGGTAAGTGTTGTGAGGCATGTAAAGAAAGAGATAATGTTTTTCTTTCCTTTTTTTCCCGCCACTAACTAATGAATCTACGTTTTAATTTGTTACATAAACGCATTTTTACAGGGAGGTTCTGTAAAATTGTAAAGTCATAGCAAATTTTTTTTAGACCATATACGTGACCAACAGCAGGATGACTGACTTAGCATGTATTAGGTTTTTGCTTTATTGAATCAACAAACGTATAGTTATATGAAAAAAGTGTTGGTCTTTCATCTTATTCCATGTACCATCTTTCTTTGAGTATTTTTCTCTGAAGAATTAGTGTAACAGAGGATGACATTTCCAATGTCATCTCGCTATTGAAGCACCATCTTAAACTAGAAATATATGTATGTCATCTGGATATGGGAATTTAGACAGAAATTTGAAGAGACTCCATTCTGAAGATGAAATTAGGTAGTAGAACAGAGCCATATGTTTCTAAAACATTAGTTCTACCTTCTTTAATAGTAACAGTAAATTGTTCTCTTTTTCTGTGAAATAAATGTTACTTTTTAGTATAGCTAACTCAGATCCAACTGCAGAATCAAATCTAAAATGCATGAATTGACTTTAGTATTTTTTCCAGAAAATACTAAATCAATTTCTGTTCAGTGGAACACAAGTTCTGTTCAATTTAGCAGTTGGATTTATTGTCAGACACCTAACTGTTCATACAGAACTGCATCACTGAGCATATGCTGAAAAAATTTGTTCCACTCAGACCTGACTAAATTGGATCTGTAGTGCTTGTTATTACTGGCAGATCTTATTCTGGGGGTTAATTACCAATTGGGCATGTTTTCTTTGAAGCATCTACAGACAATGAAGAGCAGCTACAATTTCCATTGGAACTTTGCTCAGATCCCCTTGCTTCTCAACCATTCTCACCAGCTAAAGGTCGGTTAAATAGAAGAATGCTAAACTGTTGCTTTTTACTGATTTTGAGTCCTGCTCTTTTATTGTTGCAGTAGCTTTAAAATATCTGTACTTTCACATGTTTTAAATATTATTTGCTACCTAAGCACAATGGATGTGTTCACTCCTGAAGTCAAATTTTTTGAGTCACACAAGATGGGTTGGCTAATCATTCTGTATATATTCTTTTGTAGATTTCCTGTAGTTTGTCTGTCTTTGCATTTAGAGTATTGAAAATGCTGCAAACCACTGGTTATTTGATATCATCTGACTTAATTATAGATTGCTTAATAATTAGTCTTGCCTCATACTGCTTTGCTTCTGTAAATGGCTGATATAAAATAACTCCATGTATTGTCAGCCTCGAACAGTTAATCTCATGGTTTTCATGGTGGGAAATATTTTATCTTATCAAATCCTGATTGTTCAGCTGAGCAAAATTGCATGCAATTTTTTTTTTTTTTTAAGTGCAAGGAGCCTAAACTTGCATAGTAAACAATTTGTACAGTGCAACACATTTTAGCTGTTTAAGCTTTATTTTACTGCAATAGAGCTGCATTTAAAGAATGGTTGTTACAGTTCTTGTAGGACTGTATTCAAAATTAGGTCATTACTCATTGAAATCTACTGTCTTTACTTCCTTCTCCGTTATTGGATTATCTACCCATTAAAATGGCTAGTAAGTGTAGTATCTGTGAGTTGTTGTAAATGCTCTTTTACTAAAATGTTAGAGCTCCCTTTTTTGTCCATTACATCAGTTGTATAAAGTAGGGTGCCTACCACATTTACTTGTGTTTTCAGAGGTCAGATTAATTTCAGTAATAATATTCTTACTGCCTTGTTTTGGGTTTTTTTTTTGTTTGTTGTTTTTTTTTTTTTAATTTATTTTTATGCATTTGTGTGTGCTTAAATTTTATTTTGTCACATTATGATACTCTTAGCCTTTCATTTTCAAAAAAAGGAGGTATTCAGAAATTTGACCGGTATCTTTTTCACTGTTACTAGACTGTGCCACTTCTATAATGGCACTGACCAGTAGAGGGTAGCCTGTTCACATATCACTTTTCCTGATATTCACATTCTAAATTGTACTGTACATCACTTCAGAGTCTTTCAGCTAGATAATTGTCATCTGTCATTTCTTCATAAGGACACTCAAGGTTTCATGGTAGTTACATTTACTTAGCAACTTATTTAACATACTGATACCCTTTTTACATATTTTTCTGAAAGATTAAAATATTTAAAAATATTTGTATATAATTTATATGGTATATATATTTGTATATAATTTATATGGTAATGACCTTTAGTAAATGATCATATTGTGGTTTGCAAGAGAGATTTACTAAAGTGAATTATTTATACTAACTTATGTGCTTTCGAAGTACATACTATCCTGTGTGTGTATATATAAAAGACTTTTTTCTCTAATTTTTTTTTTTTGTCAGAAGAAAGCTGTTGTCCTCTACTACTTGACTCTGCTCATATATTAATTAATTTTGTCTTATTAGAAGTCCTGGAAGGTGCAAGTTCCCACACAGGTATTCCTGCTGCTCAGAGAGGTGAGTGTACTTACTTTAGCCATATGCCAGAACAGAATGAGCATCCTTAGGATATTGGTATACTCTTTTTGGATGTGTTTTAATCCAGGAAGTGTTTACTAGATTACTGAGAACGCGTGCTCTGGTGTGGCTTAATGATATCTTAATATTTTGATGTGTTTTTTAATTTCAAAAGTCAGATTTATTACAGTGTGTCTCTGTCAGATATATTGATAGCACTTTGTCTGACAGAAAATTAGTTCCTTGAGAGAGAGCTTTTTTGCTTGTCTTAATTTGAAGTTAGCATGTGTTCCTTCCATTTCTTCAGGATAATGAAGAAATGGTGTTTGCAAAACTTTTTTTTTTTTTTTTTAAGATACGCAAACACTCCTGCAACTAATAGAAAAAGTCATAGCAGAAACAACTCCTCATTGTAATGATTGGGGGAGGATTGGGAGTATGTTGGGAAAGGAGGTCAGCATTTTCTAAGGAAAACTTGTTTGTTTTTAAACTGAAATGTTGTTTCATCTTGTGACTCTTATCCTCATCACCGAAGCTTTTTTTCAGTCTGTAGGTTAAATATTGATAAATGTAATTAGGAAGTTTAAATCATGATCAGCAGCTCTTTTCTGAGGAGAAGAATAACAAAGAAAATTAAAATTAAACAAGGCTTAAATAAACTTAAAGAAGCCAGAACTTAATACTTAAAATGAGATTTTAAAAAAAATAATCTCTCATAAGTCGTTAATGACTGTATTTGCATGTTTTTTCAGTGATGAAGTCCCAGTCAGGCAGTTGGTTCACAGCTGGGACATCACCAGAAATCGGTACCTTGGTTTGGACAAGTCCAAACCTATACTGTAACTTTTCCTTTAAACAGACCTGGAAAGGGATGTTTGTTCTCTCTGACACAGATAACTGCTTCCACAAAAGGAGCATTGAGATGAGCAAGAGACATCATCCATATTTTTTTCTTTGTTTTTTTCTTTTGTTTTTCTGTCTGTGTTTTCAGCAGCGTCAGTTGATTACAGTTCCTTTGCAGACAGATGCAACAGCTGGATAGAGCTCATTAAACTGAAAGCTCAGACCATAAGGCGCGGATCAATTAAGACAAGTAGGCGGCTGTTTCTACCACGTTATGATAATCTGAGACATATCTCTGATTTCCCAGTGGTGAATAGTGGAGTTTCCTGCCCAGCAATAGTATTGCAGATCACATGTAGAATGAATACCTGAGTGTGAAAACTGACGACATTGTTAATGCCTTTGTAAGCTAATACAGGGTTAATGAACCAGTATTGTAAAAAGCAAAATATAGTATTTCTGTTCACGTAGTAAAAATTAGTTACCAATAGCTATGTACGCCTACTAATTTTATAACATACACTGCATGGATGTAGGTGTATGTATGATCTTGGAAAATTTTTGGTGAGAATCAGGAAGCAATCACCAAGGTGACAGTCAAGGCAATGGTCACTAAATTAGCAAGTGGTGAGTTATTTTTCAGTAGTTCTTTGGCCACAGGTCTGACTATCTTGCTTAAATTAGCAGAGATTAATATCTGTTATAATGGAAAATGCTGCACTGGGGAAACACAACAACTTTCACACTGCCTATAATTTGTTCCTCCAGCAGAATACACATTTCAAAATGTTGGCACTTTTTTCTTTATCTTCACTTTATAACTGATTGTTGTATGTGCTGCTACTTGCCTCAATGTTTTCCTTTGCAGGAATGCCACTCTTCCAAATAAATTCCATTTCAGCTTTTTGTCTCCTTTTGCATGCATTGCATGATAATTTCCTTTCTCACATGATATGGCTGAGCATCACAGGCAGCTGAATGTTGTCACGAAGCTATTTGGAAACCATATAAGAGAGTTACTGTGTGTTGTTGATAGTTACTTTCTCTCTTTTTTTTTTTTTCCCCCCATCTTTTTAGCAGCTTCCCTTGATAAAGCAAGTCCATTGGCTGAGGGATACTTAAGGCACCGTTCTGTTCCATCATGCACCAATTCTACCATCTCAGTTGTTAAGATGACGCCACTTTCTTTTCTACCTGGGGCAAAAATAACCAAGTATCTTGGGATAATCAACATGTTTTTTATACGAGAAACCACTTCTTTGCGTGAGGTGAGCTGTATATCAGTGATTAGCAATTTTTGTTAATTATGCTAAAAAAAGGTAAATTTCTGAAGAGTTTTGGGTTGAGGAGTGGCACAGCAAGGGAATAGAGTTTTTGTCCCTTGAGGGTAGTGCTGAATGGGGACTAAGTCACATCGCATTGTTTTTGTCAGAGCATATAGAGCTGCTTTGTGTTCCACAGTGCTAGGAAGAAGTTGCTTAACCATTGCCATTGCTGTTGAATTTGGATATGATGCTGAACTAATGAGTTCTTAAATAGAAAAGTATGTGGGGGAAAAACGGTCTTTGACCAGCAGTGGTAGCTGGGATCATTTGAACCCAAAACTGAGATTAATTTAAATGCTAAAAATATATATATATATAAATAAACCCATTTTCTGTCATGTAACAAGCTCAATGATGAACTTTCTTAGTGTATTTGGATTTTAAATTGTTTGGTTAATACAAGGTTTCCCATATCATATATAACTATTATGCTGATTTTTAATACTACATTCTGTGGATTCTCAGTAATGTAGCTCTGTGTCATGGATGGCTAAAAAGCATGCCATAGAGTATATAACCACACAGCCAGCTTGGAGCATGGAGCTAAAACAATGGTCTCTAGTCCATATTTGGACAACAGATAGTTACCTGAGCATGCCAAAGTGCAAGACATGTTCCTTATTTTCATGTCCTTTTGGGACATCTTTCTGCTACAATTTCCAGCTACAGAAACAGAATGTACCTCTTGCCTGGTTTGTCAGGGCTAAAGAGTATGCTGTTTCTTGCAAATAACACAATGATAAAATTACAGAGCAGATGTTAATAAAAATGATCAGTTTTCATAAAAATTAGTTCTGAGGTCTCTAGAGAAACTTTGATCAGACAATCATCCTGTTTGGATCTTGCAAGTTATAGCCCCTTTTAACTTGAGAAATCTATGTGAAAAAGACAGCATTTTAAAAAGGATGTATATGATATGATCAGGCAAATGTTTACATGACATTTCTGTACTAACTGCAGATACAAACGATAGATACAAATTAAATAGCTCATAAGCAAGCTTTGGTAACTATGATTGTAGATCTCAGCAGAGGTAGGTTGCTTAAGTATTTGATTCAACTCCTTCATGAAGTTGGGATGGTTGTATGATTTCTGTGACACTGTCAGTATGCTATTTCCAACACCCAGGGCAGCTAATTTTAAATCTATTTCAGCTGCATAGGCTGAGTCACAAACCAGTTCTAATACTAGTTGCACAGTATTTCTCTGAGTCTGTAACAGAGTCAAAATAGAGTGTTTGTCATATCCAACTCAAGTAATGTATTTCAGGTTCTACAGAAAAATAATTAACAGTGTTTGTATTGCTTTATATTTTGCTTATGGTGGTTTACAGAATGTTGAGGCCCTACGAGCACTTTCATAAGTTGAAGTATATACATGACACTGCTTCAAAAATTAATTTAAATCCCATTTATTCATGGCTCTTAGGTTTTGCCATTTAGATATTTATAACCTTTTGTTACTTGTCATCAAATTTTGTATTAGGTTTATCACATTACAGATTTTTTTTTCCCATCAGTTACTGTAACTGTTAAAACACCTAGACAATCAAAATTTCATGAGGTGTGACAAACTTGCATTGAAATTTTGATCCCTGGATAGAGTTTATTTCATTCATGCTTTATGCTTGGATTGGTGAAAGTATACTTACTGTTTTCTTTTTTAATTCTCATCCAAGATATGTTTTCTTATGTCTTTGAGTCTGTTCAGGTTAGATTATACTTCTAGTTGATATAAGGACAGCCAATATTTGTTGAAGTTTAGCTTATATAGCTGCTTCTTCTACTTGCCTCTTTCATTTTCTCCAGTAACACACAAACACACACGAGAAGCTTAGTGGTCTTGCCAGTCACTTTCGTTGAAATTTTCTAGATATTTTAAACAAATAGTGAGCTTTGATTCATCAGTTTCTTTCTTAATTTTTTTTTTCCTCTTAATTTTTTTTTCTTGGTTGCCTGGTTTTTGTGTATTTGGTTTTCCCCCCCTCAATGTAGTTGCTTGCATTCTTTCATAAGGATTATCTAGGAAAAAAACCCCATATTTCATTGTTTCCCTTCTCCTCCTTTCTTAGCAATTTAAATTATTCAGCTTGGCACCAAAGTAGTAAAAATTCCCCACAAGCACCATCAAGTCAAACTTAATGAAATGGGATGGCTAGAATTTTTGAGCTTGGGGGGGGGGGGAAGCTTGAATAGTTTGCTTGTCAAGTCTCTGCTTTGTCCCTTGCTTACTTTGTAATCTGAGGGATCATTTCTTTAGTGAATGTTGAGAACTAATGACAGTCATTAGCATACATAAATTTGCAGTGACCAAAGGTAATGGTCACTCCTTACCAGTAATTTCCAAGAAGTCTAAATCTCTTTAAATCCTCAGTAGAAATTCTTTATCTGCTTCCTAGTTATCAAAAAAAAATGGGCAGTATCCTTCCTGATGAAAGTAAAGTCAGCTGTCATTGGAATACTAAATGTTCTTTCATAGCTGTAAGGATGTCTAATAAGTATGAATATGTGTAATACACTGGCTGCAAAGAGTACCCAGTCACAAGTGAATAACTACTTAGTTGTAATTCTTTTCCTCAAACAGCAAGTTCCATTGGTCTGATTTTTAACTGTGACCCATTAAACAGTGAATAGCTTTTAAGTTCTATACGATATACTGTTTAGGATTCACTGAAATATTCAGCTGATAAAAATGTAAGAAAAGTATTCCGTATCTTGTAGCTATACCTAACATGAAATGTTTGTTTGTTTGTTTTTCCATTTCAGGAGGGTGGTGTCAGTGGTTTTCTCCATGCTTTTATTGCTGAAGTTTTTGCAATGGTGAGAGCTCATGTTGCAGCTTTAGGGGGGAATGCTGTTGTCTCGTACATAATGAAGCAGTGTGTTTTCATGGAGAATCCAAACAAAAATCAGGTAAATTATTATAAGAAATAAAAGTGCTGTCATGATTAATATGACACAAATACATATTTTATATGTTTAAAAAGCAGCATCCCTGTAGAGCCATGTCTGCATAACACTTGCAGATCTTTCATTATAATGTTTGTTTAAAGAAGTCAGGAGTGTTCTTAAACACATGAGATAACACAGAATTATAAATAAGCTTCATAAATACCTGAATGAGTAAAAATACTAAATTTTCTAGAATGGAGTAAATTGCAGGAAACAGTTGAACAGTAGTGCTGAACTTATACTGGAGTTGCTGATACTGTAGTTGCTGATGGAGATGCTGAAAGTGCTCCGTTTTGGACATAAAGGAACAAAACTTTATTAGTAAAGACAACACAGAATATGGTTGCTTTGATACATGCCATATGTTTCCAAACAGTAGTGAAAGCAAGTACAGCTACCCAGGTATTTAATTTGTGGTGGTTTTATGGGAATGTGTCTACATGTTTGATAGCACACAAGTGAGTGGATATAAAAGCAAATACAGCAGAGGTTGCCTCATTAATAAATTATAATAATTTGTCCTTCTCCTGATCTCTGTTGACTTTTCTATTATCTGTGTAGTTATATCTAACAGATACAAGTAAAGATAAAATATGTTGTTATTTAAAGTTTGGTGACTGCATATTGTCTTTTTTTTTTTTCTTTCAGGCTCAGTGTTTAATAAACGTCAGTGGTGATGCAGTCATCTTTGTACGTGAATCTGAGTTAGAAATGTTACCAGTACAACCTTCTACGCTTGTTTCTCAACCCACAAGTTCTGGAGGAGATGTTACAACATGAAGACAGAAGAAGTTGAAGTAGGCCCTGCCAAATAAAAAGTTTATTTAAAATGTGGGAATGTTTAGGTTTGCATCTTCAAAATCAGCATTTTCCTGTAGCATGAACAGCCAAAATCTAAGACAATCTCTATATGTTGTCCTTTATGTAATAGGGCAGCAAATGGGCAGGGATGCTTTGATTCTTTTGTTATAATTTCAAGCTGCTGTGAAACCTAGACAGTAGGTGAAGCACTGATATGAGAGTATGGATTAAAATAGTAGGCATCACATGGTACTGTGAAAGTAAACAAAAATTCTGTTCCATTTTTAGCTGTTCAACAGGACCATGATAAGTTGTAATTCAGAACCATTTCTGAGTTTGCGTATTGTATTAGCTGATTCTCAGCTCAGTTTAAGAAATAAAAGGGGTCAGGGTGGGTGCGAGATAACTGAGAAGCCTGTATTAGCAACTGTTGCTGAAGGAGTGAGAGATTTGTGCACAGGCTAAGAAAATGTGGGCTGAAGTCTGAACTTACCTTAGATCATAGAGCGTGAAGCAGAAGCAGCAGCACCAAAAAGTCAGTTTGAATTTCTGTGCACTAAAAATATTTTTCAGCTGTTTGCGAATTGCTGATATTTTTAAAAATTATTACTATACAGCATATGTTTTGGATGGGTGTTTTGGGGTATTTTTTGTCATTTGTTTTTGTTTTTAAAAGGTGCCAGACCATGATGCTATGTTCCTAGTCATCCCTATGGTTAAAAAAGAAAAAAAGAACAAAAAGTTCCAAAGTGTGTTTGGTGCTATTATAAGATGTTCACTTCAGTACTGACAAAATGGATCTGTTGTTTTGTTTTTTTTAATACAAGATTCTGTGAAAGAATTACCCTGAGACATATTTTCTTCAGGCATGATCTTTTGTAAGGATAATGTAAACAGTCCTCCAGAAGTCAGTCATACAGAGGTATACTCCACCCTCCTTTGCATTTAACAAGTTGGAAATGGGTGATGTATGTTTGTAATGCTGGTTTCTACAAGTTGGTTTTGGTTTGTTGTTTGGGGTTTTTTTTCCCCCAGTACAGTAGCTGGGAAATGATGGTACTGCAAAGAAAGGAAATTTGTAATTTCCAGTAAATATCTGAAAGATGGTGATATTTTAATGTAAAAAATGAAAACTTTGATTTGAAGATGCATTGTTACTTAATTCTGACAATACCATATATGGAACTTGAACAAACATGTAAACTTGAATGTAAATATTCTGCTTAGTGTTGAAATTAAGCATTGGCATGATTACATGTTAAAACTAATTATTTCATTGTAAATGAGCATGGAAATCATACTTGCACAATAAATTCCTTTATAAAATTTATTGCCTTTTTATGTGTGTAATAGTTAAATGTGTACTCTGGATACATATTAAAGATGTCTCAGTCCCATTCTCCTCAGAGAAAAATTTTTTTATATAGGATGTTACAACCTGATTATTTAAAATTTGGACAGGTAATTGTATTTGAAGTGTTTGAATTAGGTGCTTACCAGAACACTTGTCTTATACAGTTGTCTTTCTAAATTTTGTAGCTGTTGCAACCAGAGCTGCCATAAACTTGTCACCTATAAATAGTTGCAGCTCTCTTAATTATTTTGCAAGGCAAATCTTGTTTCCCTTGAAGCTGATGTCAGAATATTAATAACTTCAGAAGGTCTTGAATCTGGTACAAGAAGTTGTTTTCTAAGTATTCAGCATGGAAATATTCTCTGAAGTAGCACATTAAATTATCTTTTCTTGATTATTTTTGTTGTTTGGTTTGGGGGTTTTTTGGTAGCTTCTGTGGAAGTATTATGCAATCTTCTCATTTCTAGCTGTTAAAAGGTCACAATTTCTTCTAATATGTTTCATTAGACATAGAGGAGGAGCTTTCCTGTCTAGAAATTTTAATTCTTCTCTAATTGTTATTCCAGAAATTGCAAACATGGTTTTTAACTGTTACTAATCGGGATTTAGCTTTTCTTAGTTGGTCCAGCTGGATAAATGTAATCTGTAGAAAGTTGTACATTTAAAATTGCTTTGTTATTTTTTCTTTCCAGTGTAAAAAAAGGGGGTAAATGTGTATAAATCTGTTGTCATTTGGAACATCAGATCTGGTACATTTCCAGGGGCAAAGAAAGGATCATATAAACTTAAGACAAACTTCAGGGAATTGTTACAGTATGTAAGGAAAGGAAAATTAAAACATGAGTTAATTTAAGCTACTAGTGCACAAAATGCCTTTGAGGAGCTGTGTGCCTACAACTTAAGTTGATTTATGTTCCTTCCTGCAGAATGGCTGCAAATCAGACAAAGGTACCTCCTTAGTTAATGTGACCCCCTTTAGTCATGACATAGTAACATACAGTTTTGACTGTGGGAGAATCATTGAAGTTTCTGCTGAACTGGGAGCAGTTAACGCGAGATACTGCTCTTTACCTGAACGGGACTTCCGAGTGCAGGGAGACAAATGAAATACTTGTGGCTCAAACAAACATTGCTTCATCAGGAACTTACTCTTGAGAATAGCAGTCTGGGGGTAGGAGCTAATGCAACTTGCTTGCACTGGTTGTGGCTGGGATAGAGCTTATTTTCTTCATAGCAGCCAGTATGGTGCTGTGTTTTAGGTTTGTGACCAAAACAAGGCTGTTAACATGGATGTTTTATCCTTTACCGAACAGTGCTTGCAGAGTCAAGGCTTTCTGTTTATCACGCTGCCCCCTCCCTAGTGAGTATGCTGCGAGTGGGCAAGAGGAGGGAGCCCAGACTGTCCCCAGGAACACCCCACACCGTACAGGGCTGTGCTCAGCAGTGAACCAAGGTTGGCCTTGCAAGGGGTTGCAGTTGCTTGGGGTCTGGGATTGGTGGCAAGCATCTGCTTTTTGCATCACTTATTTGTTTTGTCTTTTTTCTCTTATTAAACTGCCTCAACCCATAAGTTTTCGTCACTTTTGCCCTTCCAATGCTCCTCTGCATCCTGCTGTGAGGGGAGGAGCAAGCAAGCAGCTGTGTGGTGTCTGGCTGCCTACCAGGGTTAACCCACAGCATTTCTATTTTCTTGACTTGAGGAATCCAGATGACAGAGGGTAGAGTGAAAATAGCCCTGCTCCTGTCTGCAGCCCTCAGAAGAACCAGTAAGCTTGGGTTTAAAACCTTCACATCAATATTGTGAACAGCTGGGGTGATATCATCCTTCATTAGAAAGGAGTGGTGGCATCTGCTGTGAAAGACTACTCCAAGCATTGCTTTACTTGCAGCAGTGATGTTGGGTCTGTGCCAGGCCTTCAGGTGACTGGGCATTGTTCAGGGCCTGAACAACTGTTGCCTCCTCAGGAGAACAGCAGCAGAATAAGGAAGAGCATCTGCAGGTGCTGCTGCTGCTTGCTGATTGTTAATACAGCTTTTTCTAGCCATCATTATTTTAAGAGATGGACAGTGCTTGCCAAGTCAGTCAAGCTTTAAGTTGGGCAGGAATCAACTTGAAGGGAGAAGTTGGCTTCATGTTGGAGTCTCAACCAGCTTGGTGCTTTAGGAATGGATCTTCTGGAATTATATCCTTCTTTTTTTCTTTCTTTTTTCAACTAGGTGCTTGTTTTCAGAAGCTGTTTTAAAAGTCCTCAGCTTGTGTTTCTTTTTTCTTGTTAACCTTCTAGTTTGCGAACTCCCATATGCACCTGTGAAAGGTGCTGAGTGGTAGCAAATGTCCTCTAGTAAATGGTGTGAAGTTAATTGTGGGTCCCCTCTGCCCCAAGTGGAATCAAACGTTTTTTCTTGCTTTTTAGTTGAAATCAGAAGTTCCTTGAAAGTGAAACCTGAGGGTCTGGTTCACTTTTGTCAGACTGAAAGACAGCCCTGCGCCTATCTCCCTAGCAACTTAGTGAGAGGCAGATACATGAAAATAGCAGCAAGACAGTTGCAGGGAATTAGAAACAGTAGCGAAGAGTGAGGTGTTGGTGACTGAGGTTTTTGGAGGGCTCTCAGTTCCCTTCTGGTGTTGAGGTAAGGATAGACTGAAGCTTTGATGACTGATCTGAGTAATGGTTTTCTTGGTAAGCACATGCTGCTGGAGCATCTGTGGATCTGCATGGCAAGAAAATTCTTGTGATGCATTATTTTGCATGTAGTTTTGGTAGGTAGGAGAAAGCTCAGTTTTCACTACTCTACAAAGAAGAAAAGCAAAAAAGGATGAAGTGACTTGCTCTGTCTGCAGAAGTGTGCCAGGCCCTGAGAGCACCAACAGGTCCAACAGTCCCTGCTGGGCCTCATCCCATGAGCCTGTCCAGGGCCCTGTTTCAGCCTCTGCCCCAGTGATGCCTCAGCAGGGCTGGTCTCCAGCTCCCCACAGCCCTGCCAGGCCTGCCGAGCTGGGGCAGCCCCCCATGCCCCCCAGCTGCCCTGCTCCTTGCCCTGCCATCCCAGGGAGTCCTCAGCTTCTGGGGGCCTATGCAGTGGTGTGACACAGGAGCTAGGTTTCAAGATGTAGGCTGACACCGTAGCTTAAATATTGAAACATCATTTATTTTTAAACTTATATAACTTATATTAGTTGTGACAAGTCACATGCTGAAGGCTTCCAGTAGCAGGAAAGGACTGTCTTTCTGGGGCTCTTCCATGCACACGCCTTTGAGAAGTCCATCCCAGGTCTTGGAGAAGTCAGCTGTATAAACCCTGCCTGGTACAAGAGCAAGCCAGGCTGCTGCTCCTCATTGGTACCAATGACCCCATCGGGTAACACTTTTCATTGGTATGACTCAAGTGTTTCACAAAATCGGTTGGTGCCATTTCTTCACTTTACAGTTGAAGTAACTGGGATGGAGGAGGTGTGAAGCAATATGCCAAGGTCATGCTGGGGGCTGGTGGGAGAAGCAGGTCTACAGGCATCAAAATGCTGTGCTTGTAAGTAAGAATGAGAATTGGCTGAAGACAGATTTATGTGGTACTGGGTCTCTTGTTGTTGTACCTACGTGATGAAGACATTGTCTGAAAAACAAACCTTAGTCTGCACCAATGTAGCTGGAGTTAATGATCTTAAATAAGAATTTATTGTGCATGTCAGTCAATGGGCAAATTCCTGAGTAGAAGCTGGAGTCTGTTGATTTCGTTTTTGGAAACAGGAGTCACATTTCAATTGACTTGCAGGTTTTTAGCATACACATTCACATTAAATGGTGCACACTTATTTTTGTTGAACAAGTGTTTCCATTAACGTGTACAGAAATACTCCTTAAATTCTAGGGAGAACAGGAGCTAGGGTGATTCCAATTTTGGTTTTGTTTTCTTAAAATCAGATGTCTATAGCACTTCAATCTAGGAGAATCTTTGCCTGAAAACCTTGTGAGATTTTGGAAACATCAGAGTAATTACAACCTTGTGAGCAGAATATTCACCCTGGAAGAGCTTTTAAATTTCGAGGGAGTGCAACCAAACCTGGTAAGCTTTGAAGAGATGCTGTTATCTCCTGGCATGCACTCTGAAAGGCAGAGGAGTAAGTGAAAGTACTTGCAGATAGCAACCCTTCCTCTTCCTGCCTCCCTTCTCTGCCCAGGCTTTCTGTACCCTCTCCCTACTCAGCAGTGTTCCTTCCTGGGATCCTGCCCTGGGCTGCGCTTCCCTCTTCCTTCTCTCCCTGCCCCCTCTCTGAAGAGTTTGGTTAAGGACACTTTGGCAACAGCACGGGCACTCTCTACGCGGAGCAGAGGAGGCCGCCATGTTTGAGTCTGGAAATTGCAGATTCTGTTCACACTTCTTGCAGGACAGCAGAGTTATCTGCATTGCAGAGCTGTAACTCAATTCTAAAGCTTTTGCTGAAGTGGATGATCTATTTATACTTTGGCCTCTATCCAAGGATTGGTGCCATTTGCATGAGTGGAAACGGCTGAGAGAAGGTGAAATGGAAGAGTTGCTTGTTATTAAATTGTCATAATCTCTCACCTCTGTCTTCCCCAGTGCTCAGATCCTGCCCTTGCACTGTGTACCGCATGATTCATTACTGATTTACTCTGTCAGTTGAAGTTCTCTGTGCAGGGTGATCAGAGTACGCTGTTCTGGAGGGATCTCTTGTTCATGCCAGAAACCTGCAAACAGGCTTTTAAACTGTCACTTTAATTTTACATATATCAACTGTTAAACTTACCCAGAGGCTACATGAAGAGAATGAAACTTAGCAATAATGCATTGCACCACTGTTTCTGTTGACAGTGTCACAGCACTATTTGTTGAAGGTGGAATGTTCTTATATTTCTAATACTGTTGCTGATTTTGACTGTCGTCACAACTAGCAACTGAGCACATCTGTGGGCCAGCTAACAGCCCCAGGAAGAGTTTGGTGTCTACAGACTATTTCCCTATTGCCGCTGCAGAAGAAGAGGGGCTAAAATAAAGAAGGGGAAGGCAAGAGATGGGGTAGATAAAAGAAGGTAATGTAGGCAGGAGAAACAAAGAAAGAGCACAAAATGAAGCTGAGTGTCTACCAACAAAAAATGACAGGAAGGAAAATAGCTGATTGGAGAGACAGATGAATAATGATTCTCCCAGCCAAAATAAACAAGAAATACTGAAAAAAAAAAGTATGATAATGTGTTGTTTCAATAATTGCTACAGTATTGTCTTGCTCTCATGTGGAACTTTTCATCCTTAGGACTTGAATCACTCTGCAAATGTCTAGATTCAAAATCTAGGCGTTTTTATGCCTTGCTTCTGTTTCTGGAAGTCAATGAACAAATCTGTCAGTGCGTGTGTTTGACGTGCGTATATTCTC